TAAATCACGGATTTTTTTACAAAATATTTCACAAAACGCGAAATACCTGTATACACAACATCATTATCGTTGAGACTCTTTAAGAGAGTAAGGCATTGAATTAAGTTGAAATTCACAAGATTTCTTTTTTTAGGTGGACATTCAGTATTGTAAGAAAGAAGAGTGGAATATGCTCAAACCTTGCACCAACATTTTTTGATAATTATATTAATGTAAAGATTGATAAAATCAAGTATACTAATTAAACAAATAGCAAAACTGATATTTTTATTTGATAGATTTTATCTGCACCATCAACTCCGCAGATTTCGGATTGTCATTTCCAAGTTTCCTAAGCTTGCGTAGACGAGCTGATGTTTTTGTCTTGTCTTGATTCAGCTTGACAACTTATTTTAGTTCTTCTAAGACACTCCTTAAATGTATTAGAAAAATAAACAAATAAATAAATAGTTAGATATCTGTTCCCATACCGAATATATTGAGATCAGATCCCTAGTTTGGATGTCTTTGAGTCATAGCATTGTTTTGTTGATATATGTCGAGATCTTTTTTTTTGCAGAGATGTAGCTCGTAAGGATGAAGAGGGCAGCATTGAAATTGTTGCTAACAAGGAGGACTTAATCTACGACAATAACAATGGCCTTGTAGAACATTGGAACATTGAACGACTACTGAATCAGAACGAACTCATCAAAGGCGTCCAGGTATAGAAATAACTTTCTCACTACAGTCAAGTATTTGGTTTATCCCTAAATTTTCAAAGAACTGAGAAGTATAATTCTTAATACAAAATTAAGTTCTTCTGGTAGATAAGATACCAAATTTTTAGGTAGTATCAATAGGACGCGGACAACCAGTTACAGCTGTTTGCGTTCTGCGAAATAACAAAGCCAACGTTTCTGAAGCTAAGGCTGAACTTTCAACTATGTGTAAGAAACATATGGTAAGATTATTCATAATCGCAAGTCAAAGAATGGCTCTTATACATGAAAATCCTTTTTTTAGTTCCCAGTCCCGGACAAGTTCGCTTTCGTACACGATTTCCCTCGGATACATACAAAAATCCAAAAATATCGAATTCGGGAGATGCTGAGAGAAGGCAGAATTACTGTATTTTGATAATATCAAGCTGATTGATATGTATATGTTCTTGTATTAATGTGGAAAATAAATCAATAAAACATAAGACTACGAATTTCCCAATTTTTGTGTTATATTATATCTTTCACTCCATTATAGCCTGTTTCTCAGAGAGAAGAACTTTTGACGACTTCTAATGCATTTCTAAGTTTACTTAATCTAAATTTACATCTCAAAAAAGCCGTTTTCAAT